GCACTGCCTGTGGAAACACCAGAATGCAAAGTCTGCACATGGAACAGCCATAAACCACTACTAGTTGGGGTTTTCACTTAAAAAGCTGTATTTACTGACAAAAGATTGCAGATCTAATAATTCAAAGTCACGTGCTCTGGTGGGGCCCAGCCAGCAGCAGGTCACTGGCCAGAGCACAGCACAACAAATGCCAAGGGGAGCAGAGTTAAACAGCCTGTGTGAAGCAAAGGATGCACAGAGAGCATAGCTAATGCAGAAATAATCCTAATTATTGCAGAACACTTTTGTAATCTGTGGTGTTTCTAGAGCTGCATTGTCTTGGTGTCCCAAGATGTGCTGTCTCCCACTGGGTCACTGAGCAGGACTGGCCAGCACAGCCTGTCCCAGCCTGGGAGATGAGGGGACAGGGCACAGAGCAGGGAGACACTGATCCTGTAACCCTCACTATATGCAACCTGAATTAGGGTACATTTTTACTCTACAATATCTTTTTTCCAGGTACATTAAAATGTAACACACAATTGCTCCCACAGTAATATGCTGATTCCTAAATCTCTCTCCTAAAATTAGTTTCTCAGCCACAATTCAATATCTGAAATGTCCCTTCACATTCTTCATAAAGACCTTTGAGATCTCAAATGTACCTGAAAGTAGTCAAATAGGTAAAATTCCGAACTAAATGTCCCAGTGTGGTCTTTTTTATCCTGGGAAAGATCCTTTTGAATTGTTTTATACACATCACAAATACTTATATTAACACCTCTGGATCTCACCCACTGTAATTAAACTCACTGTTTCAGAGGCAATGCTGTGTGGACAGCAGGTCTCTGGTGTCAGCAGTGGTGACCCCCAGCACTCTCCACTCCCGTGGCTTCAGCACCGAGGCAGGTTTGTAACATCACTGAAAGGGATTTGTCTTTTTAGCTTGAAGCCAACAATGATGAAGGCCCAGATATAATTAATGTGGCCCTGGGTCAATACTGGAATTAATTCAGTTACACTTGACATGGATTGAGCTTTCAAACAATTCTGCCCAACAATTCTCATCGACACCAGAAGACAATTCAGCTGCATCCATGGGACACGAAACCTTCCTGAGTGAGCCTTGTGTCCCACTCAGGTAGGGCTCATTTTGAATTTTTTCTAACAGCTTCCAGAAGGTTAAGGATGTTATGGTGCTTTGTTCTTGCAACCACAAACTCACTTCCCTGTCCCTGTTTCCTTTCACAAGGCCAAGGGTTGGAAACCATTCGGTCCTGCTCTGGAAAATGGCAGCTTTTCATTCCATCCCTTCATGTTCCAGAGCAAGGAGTAATTTGATTCCCATCACTACATTTTCTATTAAAAAAAAAATAAATCATAGATGGAGAGATCTGTCTAAGGACAAAATAGTCTGGGAAAGTCAGATTCGGCTAATTACATTAAACCAAAAGGGCAGAGTGTCTTCTCTGTGGCTACACACAAAGCTAACATGCTCAAAGCACAGAACCTATTTTTAGCAAGGCAAAATTTGCAATTTGAATGAATAAAAACCATTTTAATAATTTGTTATAAAGATATTTTGCATCTAAGCCACATTTTTAAAGTTATAGGCTCTGATACCGTAAATAACAAAACTGCACGGAGCGGCCACGAGCTCACACTGCCCTCAGCCTGAGGCACCTCAGGCCCCTTGGTGCTGCTCCAGGCAGGCACAGGGCTCTGGCCTCAGGCACTGCCAGGTGAGCACAGGGTGGGCACAGCAGCTCCAGGGAATTATTCTTTTTCACAGCTGCCCATGGTAGGTGACAAGATGAGCAGTCAGGGTTTTTTTGCATTTCCCCTCTTTCTCAGTGGTGTATTGCCCTCTTAGCAGATCTGGGCCCCTGGATTTTCAGTCCAGGACAAGGGCAGCTCTCTGTGATCACTGTTCCCTTCCTTGCTCCCCAGAGAACACTGCAGGAGCAGGACACAGACACCTGCAGCTGGGACATGAGGTCATTAAATAAATTAAACCCCCCCCAGCCCTGCTGTGACCCCACAGCCTGGGACCAGCCTTTCCCTGTGCAGCCTATCCCCAGGAATGTCAGCTTGAAACCCTCCTCTGGCTCAACACTTCAAACAACTCAAGTGCTCTTCAAACACAGTGACTGGGGCTCCAGAGCTCTCCTCCCAGATGCCAGTCCCCCCTGGTAAGACATGGATTTATCATTTACCTTTGCTCCTCGGTTTTGTGTCGGCTTTTCCTTCACACAAACACTCCTGGGTTTGCCAGCTTAGGAAGTGCAGTGAGGATGGAGGCCATCAGCAATCCTGGCTGCAGCTGGGGCTCTGATCAGCAGCATCACCTGCAGAGCTCAGCCTCGTGCCATGTCCCAGTTCCCCAGGGACAGATCCTTCGGTTAAAACCAGACCATGGTTACTGCAGAGGTATTCCAAGCTAAGGCACAGACCTTCCCTCCCCCAGCATTTCAGTAACAAAGAGGAATAAACCCAAATTCTGAGTTCCAAGAACAGAGTGTTCTCATGATCATTAACACTAAACATTTGTGGGATACTTGGATACATTTTTATGACAGAAAAATTAAAACATAAATGAACAGTGATTACCCTTTTCCAGGACTTGGCCTAAGAACTACATAGTAATTCTTAAATGGAAGATATTGTTTAGTGTGTGTTCTTTCCAGAGCAGTGTCCTAACTGGCTGACAGTGCTACCAGGGGAATTTTTTGTTTTATTTTGTGTAGTTCATTTTAAATAATTCTGTATATCTAACTAAAGTCCTCCAAAATAAGCTGTAACCCTGTATCTTACCTGACAGGATAAGCTGGGATGTCTCAAGATCCCCTGAGGCAGAGCTGTGTTATGCTGTACATGCCATCCAGGTGCTTTGTGTTGTTGAGCCAGAGGTTTATTTGGAGTCTCACCACTACCCAGAAGTATTTGAAATGTAGAGTCAAATGTGGGGGACAACCCTGTGCTCAGGGTTCCCAACCCTAGAGCATGAGAATGCCCAGGACAGCCTCAGCTACTCCTGGGTTTAGTCTGAGTGTCCCAACCACAGCTGGGACATGGACAGAGCTGCCCTGAGAACTGAAGAAAAGCCACTTTCTTCCTCAAAGTCATGAAACTGTCTTTGAATGCAACAGCTACAGACCTGAGGGGGCATTTCATGCTAAGCTGAACATGAAAATTTTATCAGCTGTTCACAATATCAGGCAATTTTTTTATGGAATTCTACAAAATGAGAGGAGTCAGCAGCAGCTGTCAAACTTTATGGAAACATTTGAACTCTTCCTTCTACAACATCCAGTTTTCAGACTGGAATGAAATCAGGTTGCTGAGGACATACAGGGGACATTGCTGGGAAACTGTAGGTTAGATTTTCAAGATTCTGTAGTCCTGGGAATGAAAATGAAGTGATGGTGCCTGATTAACCAGGAGGTCATCCAAAGGCTGCTCAGCCTGCCAGGAAATCACTTGTGTTATTTGTCTTTATCCAAATAGCTCTATAATTTCACCATTTTTTTTCTTTTTGTAGCAAAGGATGACAAGGAGGGATCTGGACAATCCTCAGTGAAGTCCTCCTTGTTTGTTTTTCATCCATTACTATTACCCAGAGCCAAAATCTAGACACCAAATGAAGTTTCTCTGTCTTCCATCATATCATATAAAAATCCCATCACTTTGTGGACACCAAACACTTAAAAATATACAAGTACTTTAATACATACAACTCTTCATAGTTCATCAAATATAATTAATTCCATGGTCTTGAAAATACTCTATTGTTGTGTTAAGTGTAAGAAAAAAAGGCTTGCACTGGTATTTCTGTAGCATTGATTAGATCTGGCCTGTGCAAAACCCTTCAGGATACTGCAGGGACTGTGCTGAAGAGCAGCAGTTCCAGTGAAGAGCAGCAGTTCTGGAATCCAGAGCATTTTGGGTTAGATTCAAACGAAGCAGAGATGCTGTGAGAGGATTATGAAGTGAGAGTGATTAGAGCTGCAGGAGGCAGCAGCAGTGGTGTGGCACATGCAGGGACTGCACTGCCTTCCCTTTCAGCTGCACTTGTTCCAGTCAGGACCATCCTCTGAAATGCTTTGGGACAATGCAACAAGGAACAGGGAACTGTGGTGCAGATTGACTAAGCAAACCAACATCTTCTTGTTACACTTGATTCCCCAGGAAGCTGAATGAGATGAAAAGAAAATCTATTGCTTTTTGCTTTGAAGTGTTAAATCTGCCTTTTCCTGTGTCCCCAGCTGGTACCAAACTTATCAAGTGCAGACAATCAGCCTGGTTTAGCTGATATCCCACAGCTGTGACTATTCTCCTCCATGAACTGCTAACTCATGCTGCCAGCCAGCAGGAATTCTAGTTCTCAGTGAAATCTTCACAGAAGGATTTATAGCTTTGCAGAGAAGCAGCACAGAGCCCTCAAATGCATTTGCAAAATGCAGCTCAGCATTCTGTGGGCGTGGGGTTTGTAGCACAGTCCAGAGAGAGAGGCAATACGTTGACACCAACCCCACAGTAATGAGGTCCTTGACATCCCAGGGTGGGAACTGATCAGTAAGAAATAAATATATATATATATACACACATACACACATAAATATATTTTTAAATATATATAATATATATAGTGCATGTATATAATGTATTGCCTGTGTATATATAATATATGTATTTTGTATAAAAAGCTTCACATTCAAGTATAGGTACATATTAAAATATCAAGAGAGGAGGACCTTTAGAAGTTACGCTTAAATAGAGGATCTGTTGGAAGCAGAATTCTTATTAGGATCATCGAGAGAGGTGTTCCCCAATTACAAAATGCCATCAATTCAGAGGTTAGTGTTCCACTGATGACTGAGAAACACAACCCAATGAAAAGTGAGAAAAAAGGGAACGAAGTGATAATGAAAAATTAGATATAGTGTCAAATATATTGATATACATATAAATCCTGTACTTCAAATATCCCAAATATCCCAAATGTCCCTCCAAATATGTTTGGAGGGACAAAAGTAATGTTTTAATTGGAATTTGTAATACAGTCCCTCAATGGTTGTAGGTTTTTTGTAATCAAATTATCATAGTCTAAGGAAAAAGAAATTTGAGAGATCAGAAGAAGGGTTGAAAATCAAAATAGCATCATCAACCCTAAAAGGTAGTTCACAAACCCCGATATGAAATATGGCTCATGCAGCCTTGTTCTGAACCTAAAATATGAAATGTATTATGAACAGAGAGAATAATGGATGGAAATTCTGAACCTCAGTTAGCCCTGCATTGGTTCAGTGTCTAAACAGAAATTCTCTCTCTTGAAATCCCAGTGGCCTTCATCTTCAGATTGTTGAAATTATGATCATAAAATCAGCGAGTAAATCACCCGGACTTTTTACCAGTGTGGATGATGAAAACATTAAGTGTGTCTAACTGTGTAAATCTACAAGCCATCAGTCTCCTTGGCAGTGCAGCAGTGTGGGGGCTGGGAGCAGAGTTATGCAAAGTAGGCATGGCAGAACACAGCCACAGTCAGCAGGATGATGCCATTGACATTCACAATATTTCTCCACAGGGGAACTTCGCTTGTGTCCATCAGCTTCTTCTTCAGGGCCTCCTCTTCCTCCTTGCTCAGTTTGGGGCCTTTCTCTTGGTCCAAGCCACAGAACCAGTTGTAGGCTTTCTTTACACATCCAGGTTCCTCTCGGCTTTCCTCGTTAACTGGAAGGAACAACACTCTGGTCATGGCACACACAAGGATCACGGCACACACTGAGCGCTGGGGCTGAGGGCAGTCCTATATCAACAGAGCAGTTCTGATGTATGGCCACAGTGAATGGAAACACATTGGTACAAAACAGTACAGGGATCAAGTTAATACTGTGTTTTCACAGCTCACCTGGAAATGTTCCACATGTTCCACGGGAGCCTTTTGCAGAAATCACTTGGGCCTTTTACAGCCCAGAGACTTGGTCTGGTACTGGAGAAGCAGACCAGGCTGCAAAGCTTAAGCTCAATTTTTTCAATAATTTCTACACTTTTACTTAAAAGACAAACAAATGATTTTGAGGATATTGATTAAAAGAAACTTGGGAGCAGAACCAAAACCCAGCAAAGAGAACTGGTGTTTTTGCAGTTTGCTTTCATGGTGTCTTCAACTACAACCCACTGTTTCCAGGTGAATTCTCTTGGAATGCTGGAGGCACACACACTTCTGCCAATGCCTCTGATCTAAAGCACTGCCATTGGTTTAGCCCTAGAGCTGCCACCCAGCTACCCTGGAGAGCAAGGGCTTCTCCCTTCAAACCCTCTTCACTTCTGATTTACACTGGGTGTGACAGATTGGTAACGGCAGCTCACAAGTCACTGAAATACAGGGAGGGCTGAGGTTTTGTTGTTGGAAGGGAGCGTGTCTTTCGATATCAAGCATGTTAATGTTTCTTCAGGAATGAAGCAGGGATACTCAAATACATTGGCAGAATCTGTAGATATTCAACAGTTACCTGATTCCTCATCTTTTTCATCAGCCTTGTCCTGCTCCTCATCTGCATCAATATCAATCCGTTCCTCTTTGCTGTGCCGCAGGGACCAGCACAGGCGGTAAAGCTGCCACGGAACAAAAGGACTTTAGTGGATCTACACAGAGACAAACCAGCCTGGCCAGCACGTGGACCAGCTGTAAGAGCATGGCACCCCAGTGTCTGTTATGCCTCAGGTAATGAGGAGTCACTGAAGATTTGTGACAGATAAAGGAAGACAATTTCCTTGGCTTTCTTACAAGAACTGTGTGCTGCAGGCAGCTGAAATGTGGAGAGGTAATACACCAAGTACCAGGGTTTAAAACTAGTGGTTTCATTGTGTTCCACTTCTTGAGCAGCAGGACTGCAGTGATACTCACATGTACATCAGGAATGGGCTTAGTCATGAAGGAGACTCCCAGGATGACGATGGCGGTAACCCCGAACAGAATCAGTGCGAAGTAAAGGTAGTGAATCCCACAGATGATGAAGGGGCAGTTGGAAGGGTTCGCACAGCTGCCATTTCCATAGACAAACTCTGCAATCATCCTGCTCAATCCAGCCAGCAGCCCAATAATGAGGCCCCAGAAGGCACCCTGCAGACAAGGGTGTGACAAGAAGTATCAAAACGAGTAATTCCAGGCATGGAAATAAGCTCTCCATAAATTGCTGAAGTAAACATGGAGGTAGTTGTATGTTATGTTGGCTTTGGCACAGGGATACCTTCCATGACCTTATTTATAGCTCAGTGCATTAGTACAGACGAAAGGGGCAATGAACAGCAGCTCAGAGAAAGAACATGGAGGACACCCCATCCAGCCCAGTTCTCAAAGTCCAGCTGTCTCCACACATCCTCTCCTACAGGACAGGCTCCAGCCACAGACTGCACACCCCAAGGGCTGCTCTCATGTCCTTTTACCTTGGAGGGCTAAACCCCTGACAGCTCTGGCACGATGGAACCAGCCAGCAGTGTGTGTCATCCTGCCCAAAATATGTGTCTGGTTTATCTTCTAACAGCCCTGTTAGTAATTAGTTAAAAGCTAATTCTCAGTACTGTTGGTGGATGTTTTGCTGCCTGGTGTACAGCACTCCAGCCAAAGCATAACAGACACAGAGAGCTTTGTCTGGGCACAAATTGAAATATGGGAAATTCTCTTTAAACATAACCTTTTTTTTTGTTTTACTGTAAGGGTGACTGACCATTGGAACAGGCTGCCTACAGACACTGTGAAGTCTCCATTCCTGGAGGTATGAAAAACTCGACAGGACAGGTACAAGGTGATTTGTTTGGTAGAGCAGTTTGGTGACCAATATCCTAAAAGATTACTTCTAAAGAATAGATTTTCATAAATTATCCATTTTATACTCTTCTTGGCAAAGTGACAGGTAACCTAAGCTTCTGAGCTATCTAGGAATTCCTGGGTGACTGTTTATCTATCAGACTACCAAAGAACTTTCTCAAACTCCTCTCTGAAGCCTCAGGCCCTGGGTTATGGAGACACAGAGTCCCTGGGCCATACCAGGATCAAAATAAACAGGAAGAAGTTGCTCATAAAAGACAGTAAACCAAAAAGAGCAGTTCTCCCAATGCCCAAGGAACATGCAGCATTCCTGCTTCCCGGTGGGCACTTACCGGCTCATTGACACGCTTGCAGAAGAGGCCAAGCAGGAAAACAGCAGAAATGGGAGGTCCCAGGTAGCTGGTAATGGACTGCATGTAGTCAAAGAGCTGCCCACTCTGAGCTGACTGAACCACAGGAACCCAGGCAATGCTGATGCCAATTAAGAGTAACATAAATGCCCTGTAAACACAGCCAGACATTCAATTAGCCATCTGTTTAGAAGTATCTATGATCTATCAGAAAGAAAAAAAAACCCAGCAATTAATCAATAATTTACATGTTCATTTTGTATTTCAGCTAGTGAAATCAATTATAATGGCCAATTAGCACTGAACAAACAATAGAAATCCAAGCTGGGTATTGTGTAGGTCAAATATCCATCAGCACACAGCAAAACATGCAATCAAAACATAGAAAATCACTTTTTTTCCCTGTGTTTGTTATATCCAGAGTCAAATCAATAGCATATCAACTAGAACTAGTTCACTGATGCTGCAGCATGAAGCCTGGGAAGATAATTAAAAGGAATTCCCTTCGAATAGTAGTGGGAAGCACTGAGAATTAGTTTGGCTACTTCATGGACAGTCGATTCCATTGGGATCAGTCTGTTTTCCCAAAAGGAGCCGGTGCGGTGGGACGGCGGCTCTGGCCACAGGAGGCCACTGCAGCTCTGCCAGGCAGGCTCCGCCCGGCCCTTGGGATCGGGGAGGAGGCAGCCGGGAACCGTCGGTGCTGCGGGGAAGGGCGGCCGCGCTCACCTGCCAGCCAACATCATCTCCTTCTCAGACGCTCGGGTCCGGATTTTGGTGTAAATGTCCACAGTGAACAAAGTACTGGCACTGTTAAAAATGGAAGTCAGGGAGCTCATGAGGGAGGCCAACATGACTGACAGCATCAGACCCCGCAGACCTGGAACACAGACACAAGGGAACTGGGATGAGCATTTTGTGAAGAGCCTCAGGACCTCCCCATCCACAGAGCTTGGCTGCCCCTTCCCAGCCAGCTCTGAGCGTGTGTGGCAGATTCCCGTGCCTGACACGAACCCCTGCCTGACACTTCCCTGCAAAGCAAGCAGAGCACTGTCTGCTGAGCTGGGAAAAGCTGTTTAAAGCAGTGACAGGGAAACCCTCGAGCTTTTAGCACATAGGTACTTCTTTAGTGAATGCTGTCTTATTAAATGCTGGAATAAAAAGAAAATAATACCAAGCAGACTTTTCCCAAGAGTTATAAAAATAATTTGTCTTGTTTGCAGGTCAGTGCTCACTTGCTTTGCAGTATATTTGTGAGCCAGGTGTTTGCCAAAAAAAATAAGTTTCCTTTACTATTTTTTAACCAGAGTAAGCCACTTTTCCAGGTGGTGTGGTCTGGCCACACAGCGTGGGGAAGTACTGCATGCACTCCTATTAACAACAGTCACCATATACGGGGAAGTGCTAAAGCTGTCAGGGAAGTGCCATGGTCTGCACAGGAACGTGACCTGTCTCTTTGGCCTTCTGAGCCAGCACCCACCTCTGTGGGCTTGGCAGGAGACTGCAGGTGTGGGCCTGCAACTCAGAGGTCCTGCCACAGAGAGTCTTTGATAAATCACTGGCAAAGCAGGTAACTTTTCACCTTCACAGAAAGGGAGCTCGATTACTGCTTCATCACCCAGTATTTTCCAGCTGAGAACTGACACTGTCAGTGTGGAGCTATTCTCCACCCACAGCTTCAGCTAAAACAGACAGCCCCTCTGCTTAACAGTACATAGTTCTAGCAACAATTTTGGAACTAAATACAGGTCTTGGACTCCTCTAGCACTTGTTTTTACAGTCTGGCAGTTTCCCCTTTCCTAAAACAAAGAAACAACAAATACAGACAGTGTCTTACCATTTGGCATGAGCTCCACTACCATTTTTGGATAAGCAATATTTGTGCAGCCCACTGCGGTGCCACAGTGCTGCTTACAGATTTCAGGCACAACACAAGCCACCACATCTGAGGAGAGGATAACGAGGCAGTTAGACAAGGTCATGTAAACAACAGATTGCTCCCAAATTAGTAGAGTTTCTAAAATGTATCTCTGTGTCGAACCACCAGATTGACATGTTTGGTATCATCCTTGGTTTGCTGGCAGGGAGGAAGGTGATTCTAAGCCTCTTACCTTCCTTTCCTCTCTAAAGGAATACTGAAAAGTGCTGCAGGTCAAAATAAAATCAGCACTAATTGGTCAGAGCAGGACTGAACAACACAAGGAGAGCAAGGAGAAAAACAAGCAGAGGAACACAAAGCCCACTCCCTCCGACCTGAAGCTCTCTCCTCTGCCTGCTGCCAAACCCAGCCCGACCCTCTGCTGGTCAGAGATGGGCAAAGGGCATTTCCCCACACTGCCCTCAGGACTGGCCATGGCCCAGATCCTGCAGTCTGGGACTGATGGCCCTGTCCCTCTGAATGCCAGTGGGAGTACCCAACCTGGACAGCATTTCCCACTCATTCAGTCAGAGTGGGGCTGTAACAGTCGGACAGCTGGGGAGGGACACTAAAATGAACAGCAATAACAACAGTGGAAATCTGGGATCAGGGAAAACAGCAAGACTTGTGGCTTCTTACAGTGCAGTTAGGTTTTGTGCATACAGGTGCCTGGACAATTTGAGCCACAGATGACAATCTAACAGGTATTTTGGAAAGGACAGAGAGGTTGGCAATGAAAGGTAGGCAGCAAGAAGAAATGTGCATTTCTGTGTCCGTGTGCATACCTGTGTACAAAATTCGGCTGATCATTCCAGGCATCACTATGATAAACATGGGCAAGAGTTTGAGGTATCCACACATGACACAACCAGCCTTCACATGGGACATGTTCTTGCCAGAGAGACATCTTTGGACAATAACCTGTCAGTGAGATATGGCAATTATAACATTTCCCTGATCACACCATGCCACTTTCCAGATACAAGGTGCTCCTTAACCTCTGTGACAGCAAAAAAGCCTATTTAGCATTTCTGCCACCAGGAAAAATAAAAACTACATGAAAATTGAAGTATATATTTGAAATAAGTAAAGCAAAATATCACTTATCCAGTGTATAAGAGCTAAGACTTTTCTCACAAGAAAAGCAGATAGACTAAAAAGGCAGAAAGGAATAGCCTGAGCAATGGATACAGTTACATTGGGGGGTTTGTTCTTTTGTTTAGAAATTGTGAAGATTATCTTTCTGACAGTTCAGGATGCAGACAGATCACTTGCTAGGGCTGGTGCAGGAGCACACTTTTCTCTACTCATGTCAGTGTGATCTCTTGGGGAAACTGGACAGTAGGTTTTAGGGAGAAGGGAGGAAGATTGGGGAAGTATCTCCAGGCTGAAAGACCTTACATATAAAGAACATCTCTCCAAGACTGTGCATGCAAAGATAAAAGCTGCACAAATAGGAAACAAATTTGTCTTACTGACAGGGGAACCCTCTAATAAGGGTCATTTGGTGCGTGGTTTCCTAATCAAATGTTCACAGCACAACCTCTCTGTGTTTGCACACATGGTCACACACAAGAAATGACAAAGGAGGAGGATGTGCTGGGCACAGGTGTGTAGGAAGACTTGAAAGAACACCCATTCCATTTTATCACATGTCAGAGGGGTTTAGAAACCAGGAACTGGAAAGTCACTGACCAGTCTTGAACTAACGGCCAGTTCTGTGGCCCAGCTTTGCATTACAGGGGGGAAGGTCACACTGGAGTTGTGTGCTGGGCATTCCCAAGGCATCCTGCTGCCACATTACCTGATCTGTGCACCAGTACCACAGGGCCAGGACACTGAGGCCAAAGACGAGCCCTGGCCACGGCAGGTCTCCGGTGACGGCGTCTCGGAAGATGTGGAAGGCGTCCTGCCGGGGGGTGTAGCACTCGGGATCAATGTCAGTGCCCCCATAGGAGGTGTTGGATGGAATTGCTTCCATGTACTTCTGCATGAAAGCCTCGTACCCTCCCACTTCCTTAAAGGCTGCAAAATAGAAAATAAAATAGAAAATAAAAGTAGCGCTAAAGGATTTATTACTGAAATCTCAAATGGAGCTTGAGAACGTGAGGAGAAAAACCTCCTTAATATGGATGTAAAAATTCCAACCTGCTGACATGGGCAGTGTCAGGAAACACACATAGGGGTTTGGAAGTATTCCCACAACAAGAACCAAAGTGACCTTTCCTGTCAGGTTTCTGCAGAGCTCACAAATGCTGGGTTGGGCTCCAGCATCTCTTCCACAGGCCTTGCCAAGAGGTGATACATTTTTTCCACACATGCTGACCTAGGGAGAACCTAAGGCAGGGTCTTCCCAGGTTAGGTCAGTCTAAAGTTATTTCTGTTGTAACAGTGGTGGAATAATTTAAATTCAACGAAAGACTTCACCAGGGGAAAACCAAGTGCTGAGTAACTAGAAAGATAAGAAAGGACACCACAAGTTCATGGAGCCTTATCACTACTTCTTTCTTTCCTATGACCCCTTCCTAAATTCAGTTTAACAGCATCATTTCTGTTTTAAAATGCATATGGACATACACATTGTCCCATCCATAAACATTCCATTTGTGTCTCTTGTCCAGCTGGTGATAAAGTGACACCCACAGATCAGCTGCAAAGCTTCCTTAAAATGCTCAGGTGTTTGGGTTGTTTAACACAAGCTGGAAACAGTAAGATTCATGCAGTGTGACCAACAGCTCTTCACTTTGAATCAGGAATTTTCATGCCTTAGCATCTGAATGTCTATGAAATTATAATCTTATTAAAACAAGATACTCTCTGAACTTCTCAAGAGTATCATCATTATCTGCAAACAACTCCACTTTCACCTCATTAGCCATCACAAGTCCTGTGGTGTCATGGGATGCTGTTTATTACCCTATGCACACCTGTGCTTAGGAAACAGTGACTCAGTGACTAAAGGGCTTTGGCAATGTGCCTGTTTTTGGCAACATGCCTATTTTCTTCCCTGATAAATAGATATATGAACTGAAACCTGCCAGTTAAGGTACCAGTCTCACACTGGAGGATTCATTTCCACAGCCACTGCAGGATTTGTGATTGAACATTCCAGTTTAGTTCATCTGATTTACTTACCAAATCCCATGAGAACAAAGGATCCCAGTACCATGATGAATGTTTGTAAGGTGTCTGTGTAAATCACAGCTGCGAGGCCACCTGTTGGCAAAGAAAAGTCAGGACAGATAAGTCAGGACAAATAAGTCAGCCCTGTGCAAATGCCTCAGTGGAATTTTTTTTTTTTTACACTTTTCCCACCACCTCTCTCTTTCAAAGACCTCTGTAAATAATTCCCCTTCCAGGTTTCCATTTCTCCTCTCCTCTCCTCCCCATCTTCCCTCTTCTCTTTTTTGCTGGCTCCCCCAACTTCTTTGGTGTATCAGACTGCTTGGTAAACTCACCTGTGATGGTGTAAAGAGCAGTAATAGAAAGCAGGATAATTATGGCCACATACAGATTCAGCCCTATGGCCAGCTGGATAAATACAGCTCCAGAGAATATGTCAGCCTGGAAAACAAAAATTCCTGATAATGACATATTACACAGCCATGATGAGGGCACTGAAATACACAACTGTGCCCCTGATAGTCCTGCACACACAAATCAAAAAGAAAACAGAAGCCATTTCCATACACCTGCCAGTCTCCCCTCAGGGCTGTGGGAGTTCCAGTACAAGGGGTGAGACACTTCTCAAAGTGTTTCCAGACCTTTTTGAACAGGTTGTTTTCACAGACAGAGTCACCTTGCTGCTCTGTGCTTTGGGACTGAGAGACAGCTTAGTAAAAAACTGCTTAAAACTGAGGCCACGTTCACTGGCCTGTGCAGGGATGGACTGTGAGACACCTCCAGGACACGGCACAGTTCCCTTCAATCAGTGCTACTGCACAAGTCTCTTCCTTCCCTTTCCTGCTCACACACATGTGCTGTAGCTCGTCCTGCTGGTTCAGGACAAATGGTGCATTTGCATTAAAGGCAAACATCTTGTATTGTCTCTATTTTTAAGTTCCTGTCAGAAGAACCTACATCAGTTGACTAAGGGAAGAGACCTTGAGCTCTTGCATAAGAAAGGAATTGTTCAGGTTTCAGAGTAACACAGGGATGTTAATCACATTAAATCAGTTCCTGATTTAGAGATAATTTGCATCAGTGTTTTTTATACAAGTTTGCAATCAGAATAATCTGCCCCAGTGCACTTGTGATGCATTACTGTAAATTATGTTTTCATTAGAGGCTGCTCCTGAGCATCCAGTTCATGGGCTGCTCTCCAACCCCACCTGCCCACCTTGCTTTGTGTCCCTCAGCACTGTAGGAGGGCTCTACCCTCAGTTAACCCTGCAGGTCCCAGTGGGGCTCAGGAGCCTGAAACAAAGACCAACAGTGGCCATGCCCTGGGGCAAAGCCTCCCACACAGGAGGGAGGTTCCCGAGGGCAGGCAGAGCCTGGGATCCCAGAGTAGGCACCAGCACTGCTGCTGCCTCAGCTGGGCACACACACTGCTCTCCAGCCTGGCTACTGGAAGATGCCACATGGAAAAACCCTCTTCATTCCAGAGACGTGGAAACCTCACCCCTAGTTCAGGCTGAGGAACGAGGAAGAGGCCCCAACCTCTGCAGCCCCACTGCCCTGGTATGCAGGAAACAACTGTGGAGCAGAGTGTGAATCACAATCCCACTCCCAAAACTCTGCCTCTGGAGCAGATTTCTTATAGACTTTAGTTCAGAACCGGGAACCAGGACCTTCAGCTCTCACCTCAGTGGCTATCAGACCATATCCTTTGCCCCTTCTTTCTATGGTAATTTTTTCCCTATCTCTTCACACCACTGGTCAGCCCATGTCCCAGACCTTTCTTTTGTTGTTCTTGGCTTTAGCCTACATATCATTAAATATTAATGGTCCTAAAATGACTCCCAGAAAGAAATGTATAGTTAATTATTGAGCATCCTGAGTAATGTATGAGCTCCTTCAAACTGCTCAGCTATCTTCCAGCTCCACTGCTCCTCCTTCCCAGTTAGATTATTGCCTTCCCATACTTCCTTATTTCTTCATTTATGCTCTTTTATAGACACTGCTAATCTTTATCTGATCTCTGAATAGAGTGACTTTTTCCTTTACATTGCAAGCTATTCCTGCAAAGGCACACGATCACATGCCAGCTGAGTGAATCCAGCTGCAGTGGGAATGTGGGAGTCAGGGCAGGGGCACCTACTCTTTAACCCCTACACTGTGCAGTCCTAGGAGGAGGTTTTCCTTCTCTTCCTCTTCCAGTGGTAAGTCTACACCAAACATTTACTACTGGAATTATGCACAATGAATGGAAAGAAAATGCTGCAACAGATTTAGAATTTTCAGTTTACGATTTCTGATTTGTTCAAAAGCATTCAGACCTTAATTCCCTCTGGTCATGTCATAATTTAGTCTATTACTGTCCATCAAGATTTTATTTTTACTAGACCCTTCCCTTTGGTGTAATGACCAGTATCAGCAACTCTAGTGGCTAACAAGGCTCTGAAAGCTGCTGTGGGACTCCTCCCAACGTGCTGCACGCTTAGGAAGCACGTACAGGTGAGGCCCCTGAGTGACAGAAATCCTCTGGGCTCAGAGAGCACGTGTGCCCTGATCCCAAGGATGAACACCTCGCAGCATGGCCTTGGCTGGCAAGTGGCTGATTAGCCACAAAGCAAGGTAAGAAACCAACGAAAACCACAGCAAATGTGCAGGAAAAGAGAAATGGTGAGGACCTTGCAGAGGTGTGCAAAGGGACTCTGACCCTCACATGGTGGCACTGTGCCAGAAGGAGCAGGGCAGGAGTTCCATGACCTGGTGTGTGACACTGTTCACTGGAAAGCACTGTAATCGTTACATTATTAAGTACAGGACACGACATTTTTAACACATCCAGGAAGCAGCACACAAAACGACCTCCCCAGAAGGAAGGTGCCACTCTCCTACAAGGCTAAGGGCAGTGAGTATCACTGCAGTCACACTGATGGGTGTGACCTCCTGTTCAGGGCAGGGCAGGGCAGAAACTCACCCTTCTCTATCACATCTCAGTGAGCCCCAACGATCCCAGGGGAGCCTCTGCTAAGGCAGCAGTCAAGGAAGTAAAATGCAATGGACTGTCAGCATGTGGGTATGTCTGGACACACAGTGTGTCTCTGGGAAGAGAGGGCTGTGCTATCTCCCTGTGGCAGGCACCTCTCCACACAGCACTCTTGGAGAAATCCAGGATGGAACAACCCTTCCCTTTCTGCTTCTGGAGCTGGTTCCTCAGGGACCACTGGGGAATATTGTTGCATAGCATGGCATAGCAAAACCTGCTCTGAGATCCCCTGACACCACCTGAAACCTCCAAGGACTGCCTGCTCTGCCCATTCTGAATAAGATACAGCAAGTAGATTAGTCCTGGGCAAATCCTGCACTGAATACAGTGACAAAGAGACCTGTTTGTCCCTGCTGAACCTGAGCCTCAGTGTACATGGACAGACACTGTCAGAGTTGCTTGGGGCAGGGTGGGGGGGGAACAAAAGAAACAGAGGAAATTGTGCACTAGATTTTCCCCTGCACAGCACAGAGACCCAGCTCCATGGCACCTCCACACACACACCTGGAACACATGGGGTGATGGGAAGCTGTAAGGGACCAATGGTAGAGTGGGGCCCAAGGGGGATCCCTTGGCTATTGCTTTGCATCCTCATAACAAGGACCACAGGAGCAGGAGAGGTTCATGTGTTCAGCCTCATGACCACACTGAGAGCTTGAATGCAGAACCTGTCTTTCCTGGAAGGACACTAACTGAAATGGGGTAAAATCCCATAATCAGACACCTGGAATGGCCTAGGCTGGCACTCAAAGCCAGAGAGTCAGTTCAGAGCCCAGGGAGCACCTCGACAGGCTCGTGACAAACACGTGTTCCCAGTGGGAACGTGAGTCACCGACGGGAGGAGCTGCTCTGTGCTGGAGCTGCCAGAACTCTGTGTTACACCTGGGACTTCTGATTATGATGGTTAAGCACAACTGCAGCAAACTATATAATCCTTTTGATACATCCGGAAATCCAGCTCTGAGTCCTGCTCCACAGCACCAAGCTGTTTAATTTATAACCTCCCTAAGGATCAGTTATCACGAAGATGTGAGAATGAGAGCAAAAGGTCAATCTTTTAGCTTAAATTGCACTATTATCACTCAGCTCCCATTCAGAGGGCAAAGAGTAATCTGCCATGGCAATTTCTGCAAAACAACAGATTGAGGATTGCCTGAACTGTGAACTTCTTTACAGGCTTGGTAGTTTTAAGATATATGGGAAATAGCAGCTCTCTTCACTACTTCCCAGAAACATATCCATATACTTAATAAACATTAACTTCATAGCACCTGAAACTTTACACCAATCACTTGCCCATTAAAAGAATCTCCATTTCTCTCCTTTCACCTCAGCTGTTACAATTTCCTGCTTCTGCACTTCCCACTCTTCCATTTTCTAATTCCTATTATTCTTTTTTGATCCATAGCCCTCTTTGCTCTTTTCCCTCATCTGTATTACTGATGGCATGTTCAGTGCCATTATCAGTGGATAAATATGAAGCCTAAGAACAAAAACTCCTGCCATAGATTTCATGAATGCCTAAGATAACAGACTATAATACAAGTTTCCCTCCACTCTGACATTTCTAGAGGAGAGCATAAGTAGAAGTAAACTCTAAAAAAGAAAGATAAAGCATCAAGAGACATTGTCAGGAAGGAAAAAACTTGGATGGCAGCACAGATCTGGCTACAGAGTCTCACTGGACAGAATAAAGGAAACACAAAATCACACTTTTACAGTTGTTAATTCAACCAAGGGCTCCGAACCAGAAACAAATGACCAATTGTGTGAGCAATATTGTAAATGGGGGTTTGTTTTCTTTAGATCAATGTAGGATAGAAGAAATGCTGTAGAAGTTTTACTTACTGAGATCTTTGTGAAAACATACAGGATCAGGGAAAGGACTGACAGGTAGACTTGGATCCGTTTCCCACCAAAACGCTTCTTCAGATACTCCGGCATTGTGACCACCTGGGGAGGGAGAGAAGGTTTCAGACCAGGGGGAACAGGTTCAGATCAAATCACAGGAAGATTTTTTGTACTCAGGTACTGTGAGAGTGGAGCACAAAAAGGGGGGGAGCTGCAAATGCAGTTGCAAGGAAGAGCAGCTCCAGGAATCAAGGGAGAACAAGAAGGAAGCACCAAGTACTTCTCAGCTCAGGTCTTAGAGCAGAGAATCCTCATTTTTCCATTGCACAGACATAATGTAGGACTGTTCTGGCACACTCAGATCTCGTGCCATTCATCATGGCTTTGCAATATTCCAGGCCTGATCTGCAAACATGAGCAGCGAAGACAAGTGTAAAGCACAGTTTGCACTTACCCCAGCTTTGATGTAGATGGGGACAAAGACCCATCCCAGAATCACCACAAATATCAGAGCCTGCAGCCAAGACAAGAACAGTTGAATTAGCCCCTCTCTCTAGACACCACTCCCAAAGACCAGTTATCAGCCCCAACAGAAGGTGGAGACCATTGAATCCACATTAACCCGGGTATTGCAGGGGGGTGAGCGAGGATCTGCTCTGTCCTTTGATTTACAGTTGAAAATTTGGGAATAAAATCTAAGCTAAAAGCTTTGTAAGGTATAATGCAGCCTGGATTGTAACATATTTTCTAGAAAAACAGCTGATTTCTGCTCACAGGATTGCCCTCCACTATCAAAACACCACTCCACCAATGGCACCAGACTGTCCCAGCCCTCTTCAGAGCAAGCCCAGGGAGCCTGGTTTAACAAGGGTTAAAAGGCAACCAGCCCACAGGATTACTATTCTGGGAAATATTTAGGAAGGTGAAGCCTGATACCTGGGACCTATTTGCAGCATCTCGATCCCAGAGCCACTAATGCAGGAACTTTCCCACTCCCAGTCAGCTCTGCTGCACTGCTGTGTCCCAACACCTGCAAATGGAGGTACTGTGGAGAGCAGCACTTCTTCTGATCATTATTTTGATCAGGGTCTCTGTGAGATGGACTGTTTTACAACAGTCTCATACACTGTACAGGATGCACCACCTGCAATTTGTAAAATGTTTTGTATGTCCACACTCCCATTTAATGACATATTTTGTGTTACCATGTGTGTTCTGTGAACTACAGATCTTCCAGGATTGCAGTGCCACAGTTTGCTGATGTAAATGGCTAGAATGCTCTCTGATAAACAGCTGTGCATATGTAAATTGATAAGTACAGAACAAATTCCTGCTGTCAGAACTGCACTCAGTGTTTATTCTGCCCACAGGGCTTAGAAGGCCTTTTAACTGTACCTTTTAAATTCTGCCCCTAGATAAAAACCATAAGATGGACAAGAAATACCTGGTTGGCTTCTGCTGTCATACTGATACAAATTAGAAATAATTTCAGTGGAACACAAGGATGGTAACAGTCAAACTTAGGAGTACTTTCAAGAGGAGAATCAGGTTATACAGTGAAGAGCAATACTTCCCCCCTGTCTGTGAACCTGCCCAGCACTCCCACTGTGTCACAAGTCAGGAATATGCAGAGTCTGCTCAAACACACACATGTACTGTTGCTGCTTCCTAAACAACAACTGTTGTACCCCATGTATTGATATGAGCACAGAAGGAATCTCCCAGGAGATTAAGTGTTAGAGGGAGAGATGTCTGGAAAAGGATATGGGCCCTAGAGATTTGTGTTCTGTTTTGTTTTGCTTTGTTTTGGTAGAAGAAGAAGGAAAATCAGGTCTGTTACAAGCCTAATACAATCAAAAAGAGAAAGCTGACAGATTAACTGTGCACATCTCATACAGTTTATTTTAGGCTTTATCCTTCTCCTTAAACATCTATATCATACCAGTACTTGAGTATTTCCAACAACCATCTCCTTGCTAAGGAACACAAGCCAAACCCCTCAGGCTGGTGTGATTCTTTCACTGCTTAGAATTAAATGCAAGGGAAGTATCGACCTGTGTAGGCTCATTAAATCCTTTGTGTCACAGCCTAATCCCTTCCCCGAAGGTGAATTAAGCAGAACAAGGACATTATTACCCACACCCACAGAGCCTGAGAATACAAGGAAATGGGCTGAAGTAGCTGCTGTGAATCCCTGTGCCCCTGCAGTTAACACTGCCCCTGGTACTCCAGGCAGCTCATTTAAAGTCAGCTTGGACACCTCTACCCTGTAGTGCAACCCTGAGAAAAACACACATGTAATTAGAAAAGGAGAGAGTAAAGAGGAAAAGGTTTTTGGAAAGCAGGTGCTTGTGAGGGATGCCCAAAATTTCTTAATAGCCTGTGAAGAAATCAAAGCCCCTTCAACAACTCCTACATAGCAAAATGCAGTAAAAATTATCGTGGATTACAAACCTGATAAACTCTTCCCAGTATCCTGGAGTCTGAAAGGGTTCTTCATAAATAGAATCATAGAATCATGGACTTAAATCATAGAATCAAAATACTTGAGAAGAAATCAAAACATATGCACAGAGAAGAGAACCCACTGATTTATTTGGTTCAAATGCTCTCCAAAAAGCCTCATCCAACAGAAAAGAGTCATCTTTTTCCAGTGGCTTGGACAAGGTCCAAGGAGGACAGGCTAAACAGTAGATTATATTGGCTCTTGCAGGTCTGTGCAGAAAACAAGTGTTGCCAAGCACAAACTCTGACAGTGTTAAATTATTGGGCAATGTTATTTTGGATAAGCTCTGCAGATAATGCTCACGTCCCAAATACATCCACTCACATAGATGGCACTTACATTCCATTCGTAGCCTCCGATGGCAATCCCGCTAGCTGCTGCTGTTCCTGCTATGCCCACAAAGTGCCCGCTGCCAATGTTGCTGGCAAACAGAGAAGCACCAATCTGCAAACAGAAAGAACAATAGTTGGCTCCTAGGTCCTGTTATGGTAACTTTAAAAAAAAAATCTTCATTTGGCACTTTGAACTCTTGCCTATCCGTGGACAGAAGGTGATGATGAGAATGGCTGACAACCAACTTCCCTGACAACTTTCAAGATTTCCACTTACTGTCCCCCTGAAACCTGGGACTCCAGCCATCATATACATCTACAACAGTGAGAAAAAATGGGATGTTGCATGAAACATCTTCCAGTTGAGTCCAAAAGGGTATTACACCAATACTTGCAGAACTTGTCTAATTGACATTTGGATGATACCCAGACAATCAAGGGAGAAGACTGTGATCTGTCTTGTTCCAGGAGGACAAGACAAGTGCATTCCCCCCATCAAACTGGTTTCATATTGTGCAGTCTGTGGATCTAAACATGCCACCAGGGAGAGCTGTATTGGTTCACTTTTAGCCAAAAGATATTCGATTACTGAATTAAATTCTGAAAGCTGCATGGCAGAAATACCTGCTGAGAAAGTGCTCCTGGAAGTTACAACCAACTGCAAATCAAGGAATTATATTTAAGAAGTGCTGGATCTCTAAGACCCCCAATTATTTCACTGATCAAACAAACAGAACAGTGGGAAGAACACGGGAACTGATGAACAGGGAGAGATTAAAACAAGGAAAGGTTCCTGCTGGATTACAGACAGGCAGGAGCCATTCACAAAGATCTAATTCTTAATTAAGTAGCTGAAACAATAGAAAAGATGAAAAGGAATGAGCTTCATTTCCTCAAAATGAAAACATTAAAGGCAGCAGAAATACCCAGCGATGATTTACAGGGTCAAGTGCTGAAGGATGGCAGGGTGAGAACTTGAGCATGAAAAGAGGCTGGATTGGGTATGGTGGGCAGAGGACATGGGAGCAGCTCCGAGATGAAAAGATGCGAGGGAACATTTTTTTATTCATTTTTATTTTTGCCTTACGTCCTCTGAAAGCCACCAAAAAAAAAAAAAGAAAAAGAAAAAGAAACAGAGTTAAAAAGAAAAGAAAACCTTGCAGAAAGTAGGCAAGAGAACCTCTGTGACCAGCTTCTAATGCTCTCATTTGAATCATGGAATATCCCGAGTGGGAAGGGACCCCCGAGGATCATCCAGACCAACTCCTGGCCCTGCACAGGACACTCCAATAATCCCACCCTGTTCCTGAGGGCGTTGTCCAAACACTCCTGGAGCTCTGGCAGCCTTGGGGCCGTGCCCACTGCCCTGGGGAGCCTGTTCAGTGCCAACCACCCTCTGGGGGAAGAACCTTCTCCTGAGATCCAACCTGACCCTGCCCTGACACAGCTCCAGCCGTTCCCTCCTGTCCTATGCAGTTCTCCCATGTTGCAAGATTCCAAGGTGCTTAAAAATGTTTTTTTAGATGTATGAACACAGGACCTGCATCCAGCACATTCTCCTTATGTAATTGCCAAGTACAGGTAGTTAGAATGGAGTAATTTTACAAAAGGGAGAAGTATTCCTTGTCTCCACCTCACTGGGAGATTTTTAGGGTCAGAAAATACATATAAAAGAAACAGTCTGCAGGTCTGCAGCGGCTGCAGTGAGTGCTTTGAGCAGCAGCAAATATTACATCAATGTTTCTGAGAGCACAGGAATGATGACCTGAGTTTCAGAAGGATAAAGGATTTCATCATAGAAATCCAACTCTGAAGAGCAGATTTATTCTACAGAGCTGTGCCACAGCCAGAAATAGAAACCATGCTCTTCAACTCCCAATCCTGATCTCTAATAACAAATAGATTATCCTCCCCCGTTGAATATATGCAACATACAATTACAATTCAGAGGATTCCACTCGTTCCACTTTCTTCTCCTTTCCTCAGTTTGATCCCCTGGTTTCTTCTAGTCTTTTTGCAGAAATGCTGTTCTTTTGCTGTCATGGGAAATTTATGTCTCTAAGTTCACTTGGTTCTGGATTTGGGGTTTTATACATATTTCTAGAAGCCACTTGTGCCCTACAGGACTGTAACCAGTTTGTCATATGACATATTTCTACAGGAATGATAAGTGTTGCAACAAACATTGGCAAACAAGAGACCTCTGTCTCTTCTAACCTCTTTGTGACAGCAACAGTGTTTTCCCAGCAATGATGGTGAAGAAACAAATACCATTTATACCAAGCATTAGCACTGTTGTCCAGTGCTTTCCTTGGAGATGAATAATTAAACTTAAATCTAGGTTACTAGAAATGCAATCACCAGAAAATATTAACCACATTAATCTCTGAATTTATTTAATGTGTTCCCTCTCCTGTTTCAAAAGCTTAAAATGCAGGCAGATCCAAGGAACAAAGGCAGCTAATGAAGAACATTAAGAACTGACAGTCAGAAGCTTTGGCTGAGTGCCTGAAAGCCCAGGACACACGGTAGGACACACTGATGATGCTGTGTTCCCAACTTTGCCCAAAGTACAATTGTAGTGAAAGAAAAATACAAACCCAAACCAAAGCAATGCAAAATTACAAACATATTTAGGGCCAGTGCAAGAACAAAACAATGGGAATGCAGATCCCACCTTCACTATCCACATTTTCCTCTCTGAATTAGGGAACATCCAGTGCAGCAGAACTGGAAGATCAACACATCCTAATAATGGGTGCAATTTAAAAAGTGTTTTTAGTCATGTATACATGGAAAGGAGGAACGTGGCTTCATAGCTGGGAAAATGCAGGTTACCCTTAAAGCTGCAGTGTGGTCACAGCAGGAGGAGCGTTGGCCAAACACCCTCACACCCCATGAGCTGCTGATGCCAGAGGGGACCGAGAAATTTCCCATCTGCCATATTTTAAGGATGAGAGAAGAAGGTAGATGGGCTCTGGGCCTGAGCTGTCTCACTGAAGAACTTACTGCTGAGGTATTTCTGTGCTGGAAAGGCTGATTGCTGGAATTCTTGATTTGCCACTGGTAGATGCTGCTGCACACCTAAAGAACCCTGGGCTGAAACTGGGGAATGGCAGTGGGAAACAACCTTCTGGCAGTGTTATCTGTTCTCAGTGAATGTGTTAGTGAATTGATTTTAAAGACAGATCTAGGAGGAAGAGTAAAGAAGAAAGCTGATTGAAAGAAACAAAAGCTGCTAAGAGGGAGAGAGGACAAAACACTGAACTAACCTGAGGCAAACGTGGAACATTAACTCTTTTAAAATATATTAAGAGGTCAGGTTTTAACAAGAGCACTCTGTTCAGGAGAAGTGCCAGCACCCTGAGGCAGATGATGATCACCGTGTTTTTTCATGTTATTCATTAACTGTTTCACCTTGCTCTCCTCATTAACTTGAGGATGCACTGACATCCTGGCACTCACTGTTCCAAACCCTGTGCAAGTCAGCGATGGCTGCAGTGACAGTGGGCACAATTTCCACCCTATGGATTCTCTCCCTCCCAGGACCTGCCAGTACATCTCCTCTGGCCCAGTGTCTGCCCTCCTGGTAGAAGGTGTTAGCTCAGTATCCAGCCCTTTTCCCACTGATCCCAAGCTCCCTGTGGCCTTTAGGCCGTCACAGAGAACAGCAGGGGCTCCTCCTCATCGAGGGTCACCTGCAGAAGCTGCTTCTCAAATCCCTCTTCCCTGACACATTTCTCATTCCCTGGATCGAGAACTACTCCTTGACACTGTTAATGCTTTTCTTTTACTCACAACTCTTCCCTACAACATGTGACTTTACTCTGATACAAAGACATAGTTTTTGGGGTCACCCTCAGCCACTTTGGAAAAATCAGTACAATGCTACAATGAAATATTACTGCCACACTTCTGAGGCTCTGAGACCCAAAGAAGGAAGTGTAGGGGTTTACTCTGCTTTCCCAATTAATCTGTAAATTCTATGCATTGCAGTTTTGCCCAGCTAACCCCATTTATACACTTCCCAACTCACTAAGGCAGGGGGTGGATACACAACACACATCAAAAGGGTCTCTGTGTTCCAACAAGTCTGATGGCTCTTGGAACAGTACAGGCACAACCAGGTTGATCTGATGCCTTCCCACCTTCATTCTCTGAGACAGGAACACCTCCCAGCAAGCTGGAAAATTCTGATGGATTCTACAGAAATCAGTTTCACTGAAGTTTTCCAAAGCTTTGCTTGGTGTATTATTCTTTTTACCCTGAAAACTATTGATTACACACTTTTTTTTTTTTGCATGGAACTTGACAAAATAAGTTAATTTCTCATTCTGCTTTACCTAAGAAAAGGAAATACAACACAATGGAGTTGTCATTGCTGGTCCCTTGTAGGTGTGTCAGATTCAGCAAGTGGGGAAAATTCTGAGAATATGTAAAACTTAGCTGGCTCCAGAGATCAGAGAAATCATACCCATGGTCAGTTCTGATGGTCAGGGAGATAAGCCATGCAGAACTGAAGCAAAAATCTACTGGGTTTTTTTTCCCTAATTCTTATCTGTCTCACAAAGATCAACAGGTACGTGACAACAAATGAGCTGAGTTACATTTCTGTTTGAAGTGTGGTATGTCCTTGACCTGCATCCTTCCTGCCTACCATCCAGCAAATCTTCCTAACCACAGCTGGCCTTCAGATGCCCAGCAGATACTCTTTGTCCTATTACCACTCATGCCTCAGGAACTGAGGCATAGAAGGTAACCCATAATTTTGTGCAGACAGCTCTGTCTGCAAAACTACAGAACCTGAAGGAAAAAATCCCAAAGCGGGAAAGCTTCCAAAGAGGATGTTGGAATTTTCAGTTGAGCATGACAGGCTGATAATCCTGCAAGAGTGGCTCCTACCAATGCTGACTGTTCTCCAGGAATGGATACTTCATTTCCTGCAGTGGCAGCAAGTATTTGGCTCACCCCAACTCCTTCCCCTGGCAAAGGGAGCTCAAATTGGGTTGGCAAGGCCCCCTGCTACAAAACTGTCACTTGCCCTGAGCTTCCCTGTGTCTTTTTGGGAAAAGCAGAGCTGGTTAAGAGGATTTAAAGAGCCATATGAGTCTTTCCCGAAGATATTTCCCTCAAAGCCCAAGAGATCAAAACCAGTTTCTTGAAGATTCTTCTCTCAGTTTCTGTAAAAAGACTGTGGAAAGGGCACAGCATTTCTTGCCATTATGATTAATCAACGACAGATTTCAATTTCTGGTAATCTGTGAGAATGTAATTGTACAACTTTAACCCTAATGAACTACTGGAACTACTGAGTTGGCTCATCCACGGCACAAGGGCAGTGATTTCAGTGAACTGCCACAGAAGTGACCTATCACCTCAGCAGAACAGCCAGAAATCATCTGTGGGCTTGGTTCTGCAAAATACCGAACAATCTTCATGGGCTCTGTGGAGCAGAACAACAGAGCCAAGGCAGGACAGATTTGGCCCAGGATTAGTGTCTTGCTCCTACTTTATACCTTGAGAAATTAAATCATACAACAATTTGCCAGTGACAGACAAACATGTAAAATCCATACTAGAAGTGGGAGTAACCTCTAGCCTTGGTTACCAGGGTCTCCTCCTATCTACTAAATCACAGCTATTATATCATTTCAGTGAACAGAAGAGAATCCCTTTCCAAATTGTCAGTAAGAGATCCTAATACACTGCAAATGAGCCTCTTCCCCTGTGGGGTCAGAAAACTCATTTGTGGGTGCCCTGCAGAGCACAGAACAGAGCACAAGTGCTGAAAAATACAATTAGTGTGAGGGAATTAAATTTATAACAAGTTTGTGGAAGGATTTTCTTTTCTTCATTTTTCTCTGTTCCAGAAAGCAATGACATGACAAGGGTCATTATCCTGAAATGGCAGGGGAGAAACCCCACAAACAAGAGTCCTCTTGCAAAACAACTCCCCCACCCCAACTGTGGGAATGTGCTGGGGTTATCAGGAACCACTCCAGGTCAGCCCTGACGTGGCACAAATGAGAAGTCAAGGCACAAAAGTAAAACATCACACTCAGCTCTGGCTGTGGCAGAACTAAGATCACATCTCTGACTGAACTTTCTATACTTTCATTGCTTTCCTTGTCCTTTCAGCCCAGTTTGCACTGGGTGCTGGACATCCCATCTGCCTGCTAACCTGTGGGAATTGGTGTTTTGGAATCTCTTTTGATCCAAGGGAAACTTTCCACGGTGGTGCTGCTGACATAGTATTTAGTTTGAGGGTTTGGAGTACTTGCTGTTTGTTTATTTTGAGTGATACAAGGAAGAAGAGCAAGAAAGGTTTATTTTTATGGCACAGGAAGACACTCCTGGCATTCCAAAGGGAAGGATCGAAGGGGAGATCCAGGACTCCAGTGGAGACCAGCACTTTGTCCATGCTGAGCTCAGAGCTTGGGAAGGGGTGATCCCTGTTAGCTTCCCTCTGGAGGGAGGGAGCTTGCTGGATCTCTTGGGTTTGTGCTGGCAGAGGACTCCTGCCAGATAATCTCCCCCAGGCCTCAGGGCAATCATTAGGAGTTCTCAGTGTCACTGCAGCAAGACACAAATCTTCTATGGTGAGTCTTTCCTGCCTTGCTGCTTCCACCCTCATTTACATCTGCACAAAAGGATATTCATGTTCCCCCTGACAGGCAGACAGGATTGCACAAGGTTCAAACCAGCCCACTGATTTAACTGACAGTTAAGCAAAGTAATCTGGGTTTTTTTTCTCTACTTCTAGAATTATGGGGTTTATCTTAAAATAACTTGGAAACTTTCTCTGTCTTCAGTCTTACAATAGGACCTGAATTTTCTTAGATCTACTACAACAAATGAGGAAACCTTTTACTGTCATTGACCTTTAATCCTTTCATGTCCCTAAAGAGAGCAGCTCTCTGAAGCACAAGACTGAAAGGTGTGTAGGCATTTCTGCAGCCTACTTTAAGACAATTCCTAAATCCTAAATTTTTAGACAACAAATATTTACTCTCACTGTCCTGGTCCTGTAAATGAGTCAATGTGAGAAAAGTCTTAACCCACAAGTCTTAATGAAGTGAAAAAAACATTTATTGAGAGTGAATGCAAGATCAGGAATGTTGTGGAATTCTATTCAAGCAAATGGAAGCATGTACAACACAAGTAATACAGGAAAATGCACATTTGTCTAAGTTTTCTGCTTTTCTAATGAGTTACATTAAAAAGACTGTATGGTCTGGAAAAAATAGATAATTGTTTCTAATATAATTTCTGCTAGAGGCCTGATGGATGGCTAGAAACACTTTGTGTCTGTGACTCCTCTATCTTGGAAGATAATACAGAGCCACAGAAGACAAACAATGTAAGTCAAAGATAATCTTTAAATAAATTTAAACCATATTTTACCAATAACGTATCAGAATATTTCCAGGATTTTCTCCTTGCATAGAACAGCAGTTGTTATCAAAAGTGGAAACAATAGAGCAACAAAAGGGAAAATTTCAGTAAATTAATTCCTCTCTGGGATAACCTCAAAATGAGCCAGCTTCTTTGAGTGCAGTGAAAGTAATAGATTCACAATATTAAAAAGTTTTAAAGTGGGCTGAAAGGCAAAGAACTGGACTTGTCTGCATTGACATTACCAATGTATCAGTGTTCAAACAAAGGGGTCACATAACCAAGACAAGCTCAGAGCAACTGTCCCCAACACTTTTCCCTGCCTATCCAGTGGCTGAGGTTGTGCAGTTTGTCCTGTGTCACCATGGCTGGAGAAAGAGTTGGGTTTGTATCTTCACAACAAAGCCACCACAGTCTCAACAGCACTGTGGAGACACTTAATATCTAAGGACTAGAGTCCTTATGGATAAGACTTATACATAATGTTATAGTCCAATTTACAGCACTCACCGGCCACCAAATCATGCTCCGTCCTGCCAGGAAAAACCCTCCCACCGTCCCTCGGTTGCTGGAGTACATAGCCTGGAAAACAAGGAAGGGAGAGAGTTTTAATCATATTTTAAGTGTAATAGGCACCATACACAGACTAAAGAACAAACAGCTCAAATGAAGGGATAAAAAATACACAGGGAGGGTAAAGTGAAAGGGCGACTAAAAAGAACAACTTTATGATGAAGGAAATAATGAACAATGATTCTTTTACCTAGGTCTACAATAACCACTCAAGCTTCATTGCTTCACCTTTCATATAGTGTGAAACATTAAAATAAAATGAAATTTCACCAAAAAAAAAAGATCACTCAAATAAAAGCTCATATGAACTATTAATTGGGGTGAAACACCTTTGAATTCAGGCATCAAAAAAGACTGTAAGGTGCAAGTTTATTAAGAGAAACTGTGCAGCTTTTTTAACTCAATACTATCCAGCCCCTACATATATCTGTTTTCTTGTTATGATATCAGCACTGTGCCTGCTTCTCTCTGAAGTTCCAAAAAAAGAAGCCAGCTAAAATTTCCTTTTCAGAAACTCATTTTGTATTTGTCAAGGGATGGGCCTTAGAGGGAAGCTTCCTCCAATTTTTGTTAATGACCCTGAGGCATTATTTACTGGATTCCCATTGTCTCCTCTGATGTACTTTGAACAGGTGAATAAGAAAAAAAGACTTGGAAAAATTAGCCAGACCTTTTCTTCTGATGCTGAAGAAAGAAAGTAAATATGATAGTTCTACATTTAATTACACACAGCAACTAAATAAGCATTTGTCCAATAAAGAGGGCATTGTGGCTGGAAAGAAACAGTTCCAGGGATTAACTCAGCACACATTGGCCTGAGAAGCCACAGATCAGCCCTTTATTGTCACAGACCTTTAATATAAAGTTCAACTACAGCAACTGCCAGACTTCATAGTAAAGACCCAGCTCCCTCCTGCCAGATCTCGAGGTGTTCTGCTGGACTGGGGATTCAGATTTTTTGCTATTTTGGCCTTTGCTACCATGGTGGAGAGGCAAAGAAAAGGTTGTGTCCATTCTGTGCAGATCCTAAATTTTTGGTGCTCTTCAAAACATTGCCAGGCTACTAGAAAGGGAGGTTTGCTCTGCAGCTGACTTCTCTGCACTGTGAAATGTTCTTGGGATGCTCCTGGAAAGTAGAGGATTCCTGAGGGGCAATGCCTCCTCTCCACTGGTTAATGGTCAAGTGTTCAGGTGACCAGGAGAGTTTGCCCCAAGGAAAATGGAATTCAGTGACATTCCACTGGTCATGCCTTTGTAGCTCAGAGTATTGGCCCATTCTCTTCAAAACCTTCAGCTCTGGGGTCACACCCCTGGGATGGGCCCTGCCTCTCTCCCCTGGCTGTTTGGGATGAGGCTCCAAGCTGCCCTCACACACCGGGCACCGCAGGCTGAGGGCAGGAGGCACCACAGTGCTTGGATCACGAGCAGACAGGCACTGCCAGCACTTCCCACCCCTGAAACTCTTCCTGCCTCACACTTTCAGTGGCACTGCACCCTGGAGTCAAGGATCTGATGGCAAGAAACAGCCACAGCAATGCTTCCCTCAAATGGCACCTACAACCTGGACTCATCCCTTCCTTTGCCCTCCCCATCTGTGACAGTCACAGAGTTACTGTCACATTCAGAGTTACAGTCACACCACCTCACTGCCCTTTCCTCTCCCTGCAACTCCCCCTCCTCACCATTTCCTCTGGCATCCCCTCACACCACCAGTTCTCCCGGCAGTCCCAGTGCTCCGTGGTGCCAAACCCCATCTCTGCCCTCCAGCCTGTTTCTCCCAGGGACCCTGGCTGGCCTTGTCTTTACTGATCACAGTTCTCAGCCCCATCCCACACAAACCTCATTACCTCACCTTTCCCACTAGTCCCATTCATCCACCTAAAGGGATGCCTCCCTGCGTTACCAGCTCCTCTACAGCAAATAAATACCCACATTTTGCCCACTATGCACTTGCTAACTCAATTAAGCACCAAAATCTTTATGCAATTATACATTTTCATTTACTGACCCATCTTCCCAACATTGTACTCATTAAGTAAACCCAAATAAAATAAAATCCCAACGTACCCATAGTCCCACTGCCAGAACTAACAAAAAATAGATGACAATAATAGAGATGTCTGCAGCATTGTTGATCTTTACGGTGGATTCCATCCTGGCTGCTCCTCTGGCTTTCTTCTTCTTTCTCTCCTTATGTGCTTCTTGCAGAGTTCAGGTTAATGATGAACTGCTGTCATTCCCTACACCTTATATAATATATAACTTCAGATTCACTTGTCTCCCATGGGACACAAATTGAAGCTGCTGCTTTTCCCTGGACAACAACTCCTTCCCAAATAGTGTTCCTGTAACAGGTGCTGCAGATTTCAGAGTTCAGCACTCCTGCTGAAGGTGCTCGTGGTTTTAACATCCACGAGCAGATGTCAGAGAAGGAATGACAGGGAAAGGAGTGGCTTGGCAGCAATAAACCTGCATATTTACCTCGCTGTGGGTGAGGACTTTTTTTTTTTTTTAAGTGGTTGTACCTGTAAATCTAGTCACGGAAGATGTAGTTCTTTTAGATGATGATGGTAAGCAATTACCTGTGAGGAGTGACCTGACACCTGGGGAAAACCCAGGGGTCCAGGATCTGGGACAGCCTCTGTGTCACCTCTCAACTCAGCACATTACTCAATGGAGAAACAGCCCTGCGTTTCTGGGAAGGAGACAACTTGAATCTGCTCACACTGCTCCCATGGATACAGGTAAAGATGCTTGTGAACACCAGACTTGGACCCAGGAGCTTACTGGGCTTCCATGCTTCCATGCTTTTTAGACCATGGTGTTGTCGGTTCTCTATTGTAGCCACTCAGCTTCACGTTTGAATAAGTTCAAAGTTCATCAGAGCTTGGGTCTGCTCTCCCTTTATTTGCTCCTCTTCAGAATTAAGCTAAGCAAAACACCCAGTCACAAAGATGTGGAACACACTGATTACAGACAGATCCTCACAGCTCTGAGTAAGGGAGCTTCCCCAAAGGATGCCTGTGATCCTCTGAGCTGGAGGAGGCCAGAGAAATCCAGGATATTTAAAACAGTAGATAGAGGTGCCAGGCACATTTCTGGGCTCTGGGGATACCTGAGAGTCCCATTCTCTGCTTGATCCTGGGGAATCATTATTCATTTACAGCTGCCTAGGCTGCCTTTTGGGAGTAAAACATGACCCTGAAGTTACACTGAGCAGAACAAGCAGTCCAGGACATGGGAAGCACAGCAGGTCTGGCTGATCTTGCAGGTGTTGTTTCCTCAGGAGATGAAATCGAGGTCTGGCTCTGTTGGTTTGCAATGATTTTTTCCTGGGTAAACTACCCTTTGGTAATTGTGGCTAAGAAAGGCAGTAAAGAAGCTATAATACAGTGATTACTTATAAGAATAAAATTAAAATCTCTTCTATTGTTTGAGTACCTATACTCTTATAAAACATTGCTATCCTCTGATAGTTTAGGGATCTCCCCCAAAACACATTCTTCGTTTTGTCCTGCAGGACTGTGAAATGTTAGCTTAAAGTCCCAACAGAGAAAAAATTAACCCTGGAAGCTGCTGAGCATCCAAAATTCCCGTTAGCTGCGACCTTTCCTGCTGTGTATTTCAGTGGAAAATAAAAGACTTATTTACTAACCTTAATTATCAGGAAAGAGTTTGCCTAAGATAGGCTGCAGATGGCACTTCTTTACAGAGGTTGACGCAGGGGTCCTTGCAACTCACAAAAAGTTTGGTTTTCGTGGATTCCATTTCTGTGTCAGGCTACAGAGGCAAAGCAAAGAAAACATTAGTCAGGAACTGTGTTCTCAGCAAAAGAGAGCTCAGAGGCTGAGAAACACCTCAGCCTCCTGTCCACCCCTCCTGCTGGAACCACACCAACGAGATTCCAAGGTTTGAAACAGTAATGGAGAATCAATGTCTATAAGATAATAATCACACAATTCCTATCTTTCTGTACAGTGGACACAAACTTAATTGTGCTCTATTTCTGTAGGCCACAAACACAAACCAAGCATCATCTACCAGACTGTCAGAAGAAGAGGCAGCTTTGTCAAGGCTCTGAATATCTCATCTCCACATCCTTTTATCCACAGCCCAGAGAGAAATCTGGAAGCTTTGTACTGGGAGGTTGTTGGTGTATCCAGTGATTCACTTCATGAATTCAGTGCACACAAAAGGTCTCTGAAAGGTCAGCCTTTCAGATTTGAAAAAGGTTGAATTTTCCTTTGTGTTAAAGCTTTCAAAGATAAGCAGGAGTAAAGCTCCTGATGTGATGAGTGAACGTGGCATGGACACAATGACACCTCTCCTTCTCACACACAGCCAGCAATGTGCTTTGGGGGCTGCTCTCAGCAGCCTGAAAGGTCTGTTCAAGCAGGTTTAGGGTTCCAACACTAGACAAATTGACAGATAATTTGATACATTGAGGAAATGTCTCTCCTCTTCCCTGTGAGCCGAGATTTTAATGGGAGTGAGAAAACCAATTAATTTAAGTAGCATAACACAGTGACTCTGATCCATGCCTATAATGACTGCTCCCCTCTGGATTGGGCCTGATGACATTCAGCTTATCAGGAACATGTCTGTTCATACCTGAATAGACAAAACAGGGAATGGACTGGGGCACAGATAGCTACAGACCAGTGAGTAACTGGTTCAAAATCCCACCCCAGACTGGGATGGAGCCCAAAGAGAATAATGTCCTGGCTCTGCACTCCCACTGTGTAACCGCAGGGCTGACGGGGCACAGGGCAGGTAGCTCCTCATGATCTAACAAAAATGAACACTTTCAGGACTAATTTTCTGATTAGTATCTCTACAGGACCAGGCAGAGGCTGCAATTGCTCTGTTGTCATTAGAAAATGGAACTGTAGCACAGAAAATTACAGAATTACTGCCACTTAGGCAGGTGTCTGACAAAACTGTGTGTAGGTCTTCCTCCTGAGGAGGGCAAATGATAAAGCAAAGAGGAAAACAAACAAACTACAAAGAGAAAGATGCATCAGCATGCAAAGTGCCTCCCACTGAGGAACTCCTCTAATCTTTTCTCTGGCATCCCTCCAAACTTCTTGATAAAGCAAGCAGAGTTCTTTTTCAGGTGCTCTTCAGAAATGCTAATTTAAACAGTATCCTTTGTACAATTAATAAAAGACAAAACCAGACAAAAATCTGCAGTTATTTTTCTTGCAGAAGGCCACATACTTTGTTAGTAAATTCTCTACCCTCCTTTTATGGTTTCTTAGCCATGTAATATGAACTTGGAAAAGAGCTCATATTTGCAAGTGGACAAAATATAAGTTCAAAGGCTCTCAGCACAGTTTTCCTAAAATGGTTCTAATAATAGAAAGTGGCAGTTAGAGCAGGAGACAAGAGGATTGTTAACACCTTGTGTTTGATGCCACAAGTCCTTTTTCTGCAATCTTGATTAAGTGAGCAAAACTTGGGTCTAATTAGAAGATTTAGTCACAGAAGGAGGATAAAAATGTGGAAAACTAAATCATGGAATCAACTGAAGAGGAACTACTAAAAGGAAAAAAGATCCAAAGTCCAGTAAGTATGATGTAGGTAGAAGAAAAAAAATCAGTAGGAAAACAGGTGCCTTCCTAAAATGTTATCAGATAGAAAGCAAGGTCACTCCATTCTTATTCACTAAGAGGATCAGATTAAGAAACGTGAACAGAACCACATATTTATCAAGAGACTAAAGAGATAACAAAAATGAACACTTTCAGGACTAATTTTCTGATTAGTATCTCTACAGAGGAGAAATATCAGAGGACATAAAAAGAAAGGTCGATATGCAGATAGACCAACAGAAGTGAAGCAAGGAAATTTATTCACTTCTTCAGCAAGTGATTAAATTATCTCTGTGTGATCACTAAAATCACTCAGCCCTGAAGCATCTCAGCATTGCCACTGTTATACAAACAACAGTCTCAGGACTGTGTTCTTCATATGGGATAGGCCAAGACAGCAAATAATTTAATTTATTTCTGTTTTATTAGGGTTTTATTAATTCTTATAATTCAGGAGATTAATAGGGGAGGACTAATGGCAATAGATGGGTTTGAATTTCCACTGGCACAAAAAAGTTGAAGAGTAGATTAAAAATTACTCCCCAGAACCAGTGCAGACTGTCACCAGGTTTAGCCACCTGACAGTGGGGCAGATTGTTCCCCACAAGCAACTTCTTAATTGAGTAGCATTCTCATTAAAACAGAACTACGATTATTGTCTCATAAAAAATAGGCTAAGTAGCACTCATTATTTCTTATTCTCATGATCTAATCCATCATACTTTGTATATGTTAGAGGCTTGCTAATCCCTCTTGGGAGTTTCCTACTTTTCCCCTAAAACAATGTGTCCAGAAAAATATCTTTTAGAGATGGATACTAAGGGATGCTGATCTGCCAGTTCTGCTATAGCTACAACTAAATAATGGAAGGAATTATCCAGATGCATAAATATCATCACAACTCTCCCAAATATTGTTGCCACTCGTGTTTTAGAAATGCTTTAGGGAAAAGAGTATCTCCACTGCATAAAATGCAGGAGAGAAATGCACAGGAGATGAGCTGCTGATGCCCCTTCCACTGAAATAATTCTCCAGTTTTTCAGGTGACCCAGTGAACACCTCAGTTGCTCATGTTCTATTTCCTCAAAATCAATGTAATCCCTCAGGAACAAGGGATAGCCTCAGCCCTTGTGGGTATGTTTTCATTGCCCTACAGCAACAAGCAGCAACAAATACATTATTATTATTTATTGTATCTGACAGGTTAATTTGATTAAAGAAATCTAAGTGGAGGAGGGAAAAGATCATAATCTGCTAATGTAATAGCCTAATAAAAATGTCCAATTTGCTCTACAGAGTCCCAGGGGCTCTTCAGTTAAGCCTATTGTTTGTACAGTGCTTGGCTGGAAAATTAAACGAGGACAAAATCTGAATAATACTGTACAAAACACAATATGAAGCTTCTTGAAAATGAGAGAAAACAGAAAACATTGTTGGAGAGAACCCAGGGGAAACATTCTTTAAGGAATCTGGGCTGAAAGAGATCATATTCATATTTGGCATAAACGCTCTTCGCTGTTGGAGAATAAATTGGTCAGAAAGGGAATAGTGAAACACAGGAACCTCTGGTCAGATAAAAGGGAAAAGAATTGCCTGCAAATCCCTACTTGGGGGAAGGAAAAACTAACAAACAAACAAAAACCCCCAACCAACAACAAAAAAGATCATACACGGATCACAGTTGGGAAAATAATGAGAGAATTGGAAATAACGAACATGAAGAGTGTAAAAAATATACCAATATTTTCTGAAAACAAAAAATATCAGTAAATTACCAGATACATTTGTGCAGAGGTATCTCCCCCAAAATCAGTGTGAGGCAGTCTCTGGATAGATTTTGTTAGTTTCTAGGAAGTTGCACATATCTAGAAGGATTTATAAGTCACAGAGCTCTGAGATGAACAGTTTTATCCATTAGATCTGTGTTGTTTCAGTCGGTGGGACACTTGTTTACCAGTGCATGTGCTGTATTTCCAGGAGGTTTCCCCACGGGTGTCAGACCATGGGGACAAGAGCAGGGATGCCACTTGAAGGGTGTGGGTGTTTCTGGGACTGTGGCTGGGGCACAGGCCGGTCACTCACATTCTGAGCTGAGTGTTTGCTGCCAGCAGCACATCAAAAACCCCCCGCTCCTTCCTTACAGGTGCTGTGAGCTCTGTTTCCTCACGTCGTGATGTAAGAGCTAAACAACACAGACAAACTGATAATTAAACATAAGACTCTTTACAGGAAGGAAACTCTTGCAAATGTCCACAGCTCTCGTTAAAACAAATCAGCTCTCCCAGTTTTGGCACTGCTAAATGCCCCCTGTCCACGGGCTGCTGATGGTTCAGAGGTCACGTTTCAAACTGTGCTGGGGGCGCTTTGCATTTGAAGCGGGGCCTAAAGCAGAGGAGCAGGCAAGGAGCCATCAGCATTCCCAGAGTTATCACCACCTGCCCATCCTTGTTACAGGGGCACAGAGGGTGATTGCTGCCTAAGAATGCACAAGAGGGAAAATATTCAGGAATAAACTGCTTCAAAAGCTGCATCTTTCCTGTTATCTGTCAAGTCCAAACCCCCAGGAGGCCCGACTAACTGGAAGAGCAGGTATTCCCCAAACCAGGTGCTCCCCAAACCACTACAGAACTAGGGAATACAGGGGATGAGAGTGGTACTCAGTTATGGATCCTCTCCATCAGAAGAAATGTTCTTCAGGAAGAAAACCTCCTGGAGCTGTTTTGTGCATTCCTGCCATCCCAGGATTAGCATAAAGCAACTAAAAAAGTCAGCATTGTAACCCTCTTTCTTTCTTTTCAGTGGTGTCAGGCTCCTGCTCCAAGATTTGATACAAAATTATTGTTTCTACCAAACCCAGTCATTAGAGGAATATTTTTCATTCATCCAGTCCACAGCACAATGTGTAGCTGCAATCCAGAATACACATTTACATTCATATAGCAAATTATTCAGCTCAACAATATTAAATGAAACACTGACACATCCATGTACAGGACAATGATACCAATACTGAAAGGAGGGGAGAGAAGCCTAATAGCACTTTTAGCAGCAGGACATATCAACTCCACCTATTTTTCAAGGAGTACTGCTAAAAGGAAAAGCTCCTGTGGGCTGGGAGAGCTGCTGACAGCCTGTTTAACTGTCAGGAAGTTCAGGGCCCAGCAGGATCTGTCATGGATACATGGA